AGCAACTCATGGGTTCTTCTTACTCAGCCTCTCAGCCAAAGGTTTCATCAAAATCTACATCCTTGCGGCCACATAATGATTTTACAAAAATGGATGTTGAAAATGCTCCAACTTCTTTCCCCTCTGTAGAAACTGCAACCTCTTTGCCTGTGTGTATGGATAATCATGAAGGCAACAAATATGTTACGCCTACTCCTATAGTCTGTAATGTGCTTCCCACTGCTGTGGATGTTCATTCTGACCTTTCAGCGCTTGCTCGAGTTTTTCAGGATAATCTAACATTAAATAGACTTCCAGTACCTGAACCATCAATATTCCTGGGTGATCCAATTGACTTTATTGAATGGAAGGCAGGATTCACAACCCTCATTGACAAAAGGACTATAAAACCTGAAGAAAAATTGTATTATCTTAAAAAATATGTTGGAGGTTCAGTCAGAAAGATGCTAGAAGGGACATTTTTTAGAAGTGACAGTAATGCTTATCAGGATGCGTGGAATAGATTGAATGAGCGTTTTGGACAACCATTCACTATTCAAAGGGCCTTTAGGCAAAGGTTAAACGATTGGCCAAAAATTGCAGGGAAGGATGCTCAGGGCCTCAGAAATTATTCAGATTTCCTTAACACCTGCTTAGAAGCAATGCCTCATGTAAAGAGTTTGGAGATATTGAATGATTGCGAAGAGAATCAAAAGATGATCTCTAAACTCCCAGACTGGGCTATTGCCAGCTGGAACCGACAAGTCACTCAGAATCTTATGGAAGGTAATGGTTTTCCCAGTTTTAAGGACTTTGTCACATTTATCACATTAGAAGCACATATAGCCTGCAACCCGGTTACATCTTTGTATGCCCTTCGTTCAGCTACTACAGAAATTAGAAAGGCAAGTACGACTCTAGCTACTCTGGCTTCACCGGAAAATAGGCTTTCAAATATTGCAAGTCAGAGACGTCTCTGTCCTTATTGTAAAATTGAAAATCATCAAATTCAAGACTGTTCAACATTTACAGATTTACCCATTTCTGATCAACGCTCGTTTGTGAAGGAGAAAAGGTTGTGTTATGGATGTTTAGAGCCTGGACATGGAGTGACAAATTGTGGGAATCGATTGATTTGTGACATTTGTAATCGCAGGCATCCCACGAGGCTTCATATTGTAAACTTTGACAATAGTGATTCGAGCTAAACTTTCTTTGGACTGCGTTAAACTGTGATTGATTATGATGTTGTAAGGTAATCCCTCGTTGAAATAACTTGTGATTGGCGGGGAGTGTAAGGAACGTTTTGTTTATTCTGAAGTCTGTCGGGGCAACTTCCGGTTGCTTCCAGATTGTACTTAATGTCACACGGTGTGTGGGCTTGGGACAGTACGGTCTTAACTGTTTAAATGGTTAGCGCCTAGCTGAAAGGGGATAAAGGTGTGTATTTTAATGTGATTTTTATGATTCTTTGTCTGCTTAACTGATTCAATGTATTAATGGTTTTTAGCTCTTACGGTGAATTTGTGCAATTACATTAAAAACGGAAAATGGGCACATGCATCAGTACGAGCCTTCATTCATTCAGCTAAAGTCGCTACAGTGTCCGTATATTCATCCAAACTGTCTGTGGCAGCTCTGAAAAGGTCCCAGTCTGTAGATTCCATGCATGCGCGCAGCTCTTCCACAGCTTCATCAGACCACACTTTGGAGCTCCTCATTGCAGGTTTTGAGAGCTTTAGTCTCTGTCTGTAAGCAGGAACCAGATGTATCATGGAGTGATCTGAGAAGCCGAGGGCTGGCTTGGGAACAGCGCGAAAAGCTCCGTGCACGGTGGTGTAACAGTGATCCAGAGTGTTCTCCTCTCTGGTCGGGCATTTGATAAACTGTCTGTATTTGGGTAATTCCTGGCTCAAGTTTCCCTTATTAAAATCCCCCAGGATAATAATCAGAGAGTCCGGGTATAAGCGTTCCATACACAGTACTTGCTCTGCGAGTGCGCGCTGAGCCTCGCGCGCGTCCGCGCATGGCGGTATGTAAACAGAGGGAAGAATGAATGAAACAATTTCCCGCGGAGAGTAATATGGTTTACAATGAATGAAAAGATATTCCAGAGCAGGAGAGCAGTGCTTGGAGATCACTGTCACATCGTTACACCAGTTTGTATTGGCGTAGAAACACAGCCCTCCGCCTCTGCTCTTCCCTGAGAGCGCACAATGGCGATCCGCGCGGAACAGCCCAAAGCCCTGCAGCTCCAGAGCGCAGTCCGGGATCCGCTCATTTAGCCAGGTCTCAGTGAAGCAGAGGACACAGGATGTGGTGAAGTCCTTGTTTCTTCTCATGAGCAGGCTGAGTTCGTCCATCTTATTGCCCAGTGAGCGTACGTTGGAGAGAAAAATGCCGGGGAGAGCCGTGCGCGCTCCTCTCCTCCTAAGACGCACGAGCAGGCCTCCGCGCAGTGGCGGAGCCAGACTTTTAAACAGAGGGTGGCCAGGGGGTGGCAAGGGTTTTTTTAAGGGGTCCACATTTATACTATTCCGAAGTTTTATTTCACACAAAAACTGGCTAAACGATACATTTTAATCTTAATCTTGTCATTATTTTTAGCACACTTGGAAACTACAAAGCAAAAAAGTGTATTTAAATAGTAGTCTGAAAATAACATCATTCAAACATTGCATTACATTTTTCTTTTAACAAATTTAGCAAATTCCTGCGGTTCTGGTGTAAAGCAGCAAAGATGTTGACAAACTCATCCATATTGAGTCCTGAGCCTTCCTTGACTCTACACTGAGGATACCAAGACGCCTCAATCATCTGCCATAGTTCTGAGATGGTTTTTAATAAGTTTTAGGGCAGAGAAACTTATTTCACAAGACGCAGAACTGACAGGTATTTAAAACATCTTTGCCAGACTCAAAAGCTCATGAAACACTTTTTAAACGTTCCAAAAAGACAAGGAAGTCCAATAGGGACTCTCTAATCCAATTTTTCCTCCCAAGAATCCACCTAGTTTGATGTACCTCATGCTTAAGGTCCTCTATATCTGACTCAAAGGTTCTGCCAAATGAAAACAGGGGCTCTTCTTTCAAAAATAGTTTGGGGTTAAGCGACTGCACATCATCCATAGCAATTTTTATTCTTTTTTTGAGTGTGAAAAAACGCCTTCTGCCAATAGACAATCCTGCACCTGTCTGCGACACCCTCTCATTCTCTGAAACTCAATTATATAAGCTATATTTTAATACAACACAACAAATTCCTCATCATCTCAAAACATACTGCCTCCGAGTCTGACCTTCAGGTTTCATCCTGATCTACAGCCTTTTCCTAACAAAAAAAGGTCTGTAGGCAATGTTTCCTCCTTTTCTTTTCATGTTTACACTAAAGGGAAGAGGGCGATGATACGATGGGCAATTAATAATAGAAAATACACACGCATGCACACCCGCACACTGGCACACACAGGCACGCACACACGCACTGGCACACGCAGACACACTGGCACACACAGGCACGCACACACACGCAGACACACTGGCACGCTGACACACGCACACAGGCACGCACACACACACACACACTAAAAGTTCTACAAACTGAACAAGTAATGCGCTGCAGTACGTGTGTCTATACTTTGTGTCAAATGTAAACGGTTGGCTCTGCATCGCTAACTTACCTCTTTGTTTTCATCACGACTTGGGCACACCTGAGTCCAACAACCAATGAAAAGCATTAGCTTACAGAGTTCGGTAAAGTCAGCTTGATATTCACAGATTCGGACTTCCGCGGTGAATATCTTACGAAAGCTACGTTGTTAAACGAAAGTAATTGTGCCAAAATGATCACCTCTACATGGGCTAACTACTACAACATCGATTTTTCTAATCCAATGCGCTGTTTTAATGCAGAGAAATCCATTGAACCCAATGCGCCGCAAGTGCCGAGAGAAGCACTTAGGGAGCGTCAACAAATGCCAATACCAGCTGTGTAAACGAACAATAGTTTTTATTTTAAGCCAAGTACACGCACTAAACTCTCAAATACTATAAATAGCTACCATATCTAACTACTACAACCTTTGTTTTCAGCATTTGTTTCTTTTTTGTATTTTTTATGAATAAATAGGATTTAATATGAATATGAATTTTGAATAACTTTTTTTCAAAGAGGGGCGTGGTCACCAAATTCTCAGGTATGATCAATAACTGCCATATCTAACTACTACAACCTTTGTTTTTTGTATTTTTCTCTTTTTTATATTTTTTATGATTAAATATGAATATGATTTTTGAATAACTTTTTTTCAAAGAGGGGCGTGGTCACCAAATTCTCAGGTATCATCAATAACTGCCATATCTAACTACTACAACCTTTGTTTTTTGTATTTTTCTCTTTTTTATATTTTTTATGATTAAATATGAATATGATTTTTGAATAACTTTTTTTCAAAGAGGGGCGTGGTCACCAAATTCTCAGGTATCATCAATAACTGCCATATCTAACTACTACAACCTTTGTTTTTTGTATTTTTCTCTTTTTTATATTTTTTATGATTAAATATGAATATGATTTTTGAATAACTTTTTCTAAATCAAAGGTAACTACAGGATTTTTTTTTATTATTAAACAGCATATTCCTATATTCATATTATATTATATTGCATAATGTCTGAGTATATTTTTCTCCCCTATTAGTTGGAAAGTCTTTGGAACCAAGAAACAACAGAAAGAATTGTGGCTATACTGGTCAATACAAGGCAAAAGTTAGCAATCACTTTGAGGCACCAAGAACTTCTCTCTCTGAAGCCCCATGAGCTCATCATTGGAGAGGCAAGACCAATAACACATATATGGATGCACACACACAAACTGACAGTTACAGTATTTGATATTTTTCTCTACAATAGGTTATCGAGTGTTATGTAAGAGCAATGCTCAATTCTTTGGATGTGGAAAATCGTTTGTATCAACTAAACCATCAGTCCTTGCAAAAGATTCTATTTGGAACACGGGAGGAAATGTCAAGACAGGGCTTAAGAAAGGTAAGTTGTGAACTCCATCTATGGAGCTATTATTGTTTCAATAATATTTGTGTGTGCACACCCAGATTTGTGTGTGTAGAAAAAACATTTGTGTGTTTGTAGATACATTTGTCTGTGCGTAACTAGATCTGTGTGTGTAAAAAAAGAGGGTATGTTTTACACACAAGTTTTTTTTTTACACACAGATCTTTTGACACAGTCCTGCCTTCGCAGATTGGCAAGTGTAACTGGGACTGTGTGCACGTGTATCCAGATTTGTGTGTGTGTAATTTGACATTTGTATCTGTAAGAGAACAATCTGTATCTGTAAGAGAACAATCTGTATGTAAATAACCACGTTGTATGAAGAGAAGAACAAAAAAAGCCGAAGTGCTACGCACAGGCTCTCATTTTACACACAAATCTCTTTTGACACACTTCTGGTGCAAGGAGTGTGTCAATTTGTAATTGTAATGTGGTTGTACCAGCAGATGGTGCAGTTGTAGCTGGTTATTACTGGTTATTACACGCAAGCAAACCAAAACCTACTGTCCAGATCAGTGTGGGCGGGTCCCGGCTCTAAAGTGGCCAAAATGACGGGTGCTGACATGCTGCAATACCACACCGGGACAGAGGGGCTGGACCAGGAAAGGGAATTATTCAATGCAAATGTACGTAGCTTCTGACCTCTCAAAAACGTCTTTACAGGCTGGTCCGTAAGTTGGCTCTTGGCCCAAAGCTCCGTTTCACATGTGTGTCAACGCTGAGGGGAGTGAATTTTCACGGACCACTCTTGTTTACTCGCTGTGATTTTTTAAAGCCGTCGTTAAAATGAATGGGGCGCGTGCATGTTCGTGCATGCGCGAGCCGGCTGACGCGTGCACAGATGCATTTTCCAGCCCCCGCGGCCATTTTATTTTGCTCCAGGAGAGGCTAATTTTTGGCACGTTAGTTAGAACGGCGGCGATAGGCGTGACTACGTCCGTTAATATATACAGTCTATGGTCCAGATACACTGCCTCAGCTGATTATTTTTTATGAAAAATCCTGCCATTCACACCCCTGTATGATACATGGATCTATTATATTATCTGGATACGGTCCTACCAGCTTGGAGCTGAAGGACCCACGTGCTCGGGGGATTCGTTCAGAACTGCAGACAGAACAAGACTATCAATGTAAACTAAAACAGCTCGACCTCAGCTGACAGAGAACCTGCAGCTTTCATATATGTCGTATTTTGTGGGAATTTTAGTGTCCCTTGTCATCATTACCTTTTTTTCTTCTTCAATCCTTCGGTTTTTGTTAAATCTACACTTTAGTGCCACAAACTCTGCTCTTTTTGCTCTCGCCCTATGATGCTGTTGTGAGATCTGTCTGTCTGTGCGTGTAATAACCAGCTACAACTTCACCATCTGCTGGTACAGTGCTACAGTAGATCAACCTCATTACAATTACAAATTGACACACTCCTTACACCAGAAGTGTGTCAAAAGACATTTTGACACACTTCTGCCACTTTTGTTCTTCTCTTCTTACAATGTGGTTATTAACATACAGATTGTTCTGTTACAGATACAAATGTCAAATTACACACACACAAATCTGGGTACAGACGCACACAGTCAAAGTTACCCTTGTGAATCTGCGAAGGCAGGACTGTGTCAAAAGATCTGTGTAAAAAAAAAGACTATGTCTTCCCAGGCCAGCTGAGAGACATAGTCCCTCCAGCGTGTCCTGGGTCTTCCCCGGGGTCTCCCCCCGGTGGGACGTGCCCGGAACACCTCCCCAGGGAGCCTGAGCCACCTCAACTGGTTCCTCTCGATGTGGAGAAGCAGTAGCAGTGGCTCTACTCCAAGCTCCTCCCGTATGACCGAGCTCCTCCCCCTCCTCCATCTCCCTATTCTACCTATATCTCCATCTATCTGCGGCTGCGGCTGTAAAGTGCCAAACTGCAGTTGTGTCCTTAGGCAAGACACTTCACCCCCATTGCCTAGAATGAGTCAAGTGTGTGTGTGAATGGTTGGTGGTGGTCTGAGGGGCTGATGGCACAGACTGGTTGCCTCACTTCTGTCAGTGTGCCCCAGGGCAGCTGTGGCTACAGTAGTAGTTTATCACCACCGTGTTTAGAGTGAATGAATAATGACATGTAAAGCGTCTTAGAGTGTCCAGAAAAGCTCTATATATAACCGATGCATTATTATTATTATCTCTGGCATTTTTCATTCTATATCACCCTCTCTTTGTATTTACCCTCCTATCTATGTATAGTTATACAGTGGGAGGAAAGAGCATGTTAACCCTTAGCAATTTCTAGTGTTTCTGGATCATTTGTTTATGAAGTGTGCTCTGATCCTCATAAAAATTACAACAATAGTCAAATAAATTGTGTTGAAACAAATTCAGCATGAATATTATAGTTTTTCATAAAACACAAATTTAAACATTCCCAGAGCAGGGATAGTTATATATATTTTTTGTTAAGGTTTGTTTTGAAGATTACGATGGAGTCATTGGATTTGTGAACACCGGGTGTCACTGGAAGTGTGTGGTAAGTAAAAGAGGAATGTGAAAAAGTTTAACTTTATCATAAACAACATTTACTTTTTTCTCCACCAGTATCTGAATGCTATCACACAACAGATATTTATGCTGGACCCATTAAAAACATTAAAAGAAGCAGATGACACACAAATGGCTGCTCAAAGATTTGGGTGAATTTATTAATGAAAAGTACATGTAACCATAAAAGGGCAGTAAATGTTAGGTCTATCTATTATGCATTTCACAGACAATACTTTAAAATGAGAAGGAATCGCTTGGGGAAGGAGGACTGGATCCATATTACATGGAAACCAGGGAACATTCCACACACACACCAACAGGATTCTGTCAGCTGTGGAGTTTTTGTCATGCAGGTACGTAAAGAACAAGCTTTAGTGATGAATGACTGACACATCATGATCACTTAATATCCATTTTTATTCATTTCTTTTTAGATGGTTAAAGCTTTGGCAATATCGTTCCCTTATATCCCCAAGGGCATTCAAGTGGAGACAACCCAAAAAGCCATGGGAAATCTGAGAAAGGAGATGGCTGAGGAGATTCTCAGAATGAGTGGTGACAGCATTATAATTTTTTTGAATGATTATATTTGTACTATTATTTCAATTAATTTTGTATTGTATTTGCTATGAACAGCGTCAGACTTCTGTTCGCTGTGTGGGCTCCAAAACTCAAACGCAAATGGAGCTACTTGGGTAAGAGCAGTATTTGCTTGTTTTTCTTTTTTTAAGAGGAGTGTTAAATGACCAACATTAATATTCATGCAGATTCAGTGTGACAATTGCCAGGGATGGTTCCACATTGAGTGTGTCGAAATGGCCCAAGAAGACATCCCGGACCAAAAAGTGGAATGGCTTTGTCAGTGGTGTTGAAGCTGATTCCACAAAGCTGGATGTGGTCCAGTTCCACTGCTACGGAGATAAAATAATGTTCTATTGTAACAGGCATTACATTTCATTATTTTATGAGTAATATGCAAATACATATAGTATATACAATTATCAAAAATCACATACCATTGTGCAATGGACACAACACTGCTCTCTTATCACATTCTGAAGAATTTGGTGACCACGCCCCCTTTTTAGAACAAAAGCTATTGAAGATTGATAATTAATCATAAAAATGTAACAAAGAGATAAATGCTGCAAACAAAGGTTGCAGTACTTAGATATGTTAATTATTGATTATAACTGAGATTTTGGTGACCACGCCCCTTTTAGAACAAAATTTATTGAAGATTGTGACACTTGTCATGTCAGGATGGCACTTATGAAGATGTTGGAGGAACAAAGTGCACACCCAGGGTGCAGGTTTATTTACATTGGACAGCATGTCATGCAACACTCTCTCTGTTCAGAGTTGGTGGCCTGCTTTTATAGCATATGACAGTAATTAAGCAATACTAACTGCAGCCCTACAGCAATAATTAAAGTAGTGCTTTTACACTCTTTTTATTATTATTATTTAAATTTACAAATGATTTATTTATTCTAAAACTATACTAAACTGGAAAGATAAAACCCAGGAAACCCCTCCACCCTCTCTGCAGAGTGGATGAACCCGGAATCCTCTTTAGGTGCTCCGGCTCCTCAGGACTTATTTGGCCGGAACGCCTAAAGAGGGCAGACAAGGGAGAAAAAGATAAGTATATTTAAATGTTGTACATTTATTCATTTTACTTAACTCACACTCTTTTCCTTTACAGGTCCGCACCTTCACATACAAATCAATCTTTAATAAATGTTTTAAAACATTAGAGTCTGTCTAATTCATACTCCTGTTAACCCTCGTAAAGGACTCTTCTCCATTTATAAAAAGCCATTGAAGATTCAATCATAAAAAATATGAAAAAAGGTATTTCTGCTAAAAACAAAGGTTGTAGTAGTTAGATATGGCAGTTATTGATCATACCTGAGAATTTGGTGACCACGCCCCTTTTTGAAAAAAAGTTATTCAAAAATCATATTCATATTTAATCATAAAAAATATAAAAAAGACATTTCTTCTGAAAACAAAGGTTGTAGTAGTTAGATATGGCAGTTATTGATCATACCTGAGAATTTGGTGACCACGCCCCTTTTTGAAAAAAAGTTATTCAAAAATCATATTCATATTTAATCATAAAAAAATATAAAAAAGATATTTCTTCTGAAAACAAAGGTTGTAGTAGTTAGATATGGCAGTTATTGATCATACCTGAGAATTTGGTGACCACGCCCCTTTTTGAAAAAAAGTTATTCAAAAATCATATTCATATTTAATCATAAAAAATATAAAAAAGATATTTCTTCTGAAAACAAAGGTTGTAGTAGTTAGATATGGCAGTTATTGATCATACCTGAGAATTTGGTGACCACGCCCCTTTTTGAAAAAAAGTTATTCAAAAATCATATTCATATTTAATCATAAAAAATATAAAAAAGATATTTCTTGTGAAAACAAAAGTTGTAGTAGTTAGATATGGCAGTTATTGATGATACCTGAGAATTTGGTGACCACGCCCCTCTTTGAAAAAAAGTTATTCAAAAATCATATTCATATTAAATCCTATTTATTCATAAAAAATACAAAAAAGAAACAAATGCTGAAAACAAAGGTTGTAGTAGTTAGATATGGTAGCTATTTATAGTATTTGAGAGTTTAGTGCGTGTACTTGGCTTAAAATAAAAACTATTGTTCGTTTACACAGCTGGTATTGGCATTTGTTGACGCTCCCTAAGTGCTTTTCTCGGCACTTGCGGCGCATTGGATTCAATGGATTTCTCTGCATTAAAACAGCGCATTGGATTAGAAAAATCGATGTTGTAGTAGTTAGCCCATGTAGAGGTGATCATTTTGGCACAATTACTTTCGTTTAACAACGTTGCTTTCGTGAGATATTCATGGCGGAAGTCCGAATCTGTGAATATCAAGCTGACTTTACCGAACTGCATACAGCACCGGCTCCAGACGGAGTCAGGGTGCGTTCACAGACGGGGGAAACCGTGGGAATTTTTAGCTTTTGGCGGAAAAAGTGCGGAAGATTCTCAAGATTAACAATATTACATTGCCGTCTTCCGAGGGGGGCACTGGGGGTGGCAAGGGTATTTTTAGAGGTGGCAGTGACCACCCTGGCTACCCCTCTGGCTCCGCCACTGCCTCCGCGCCTTCCCCTTTTACGGGCCCACACTTTTTTGGCTAGAACATGAACTAAATCAGCCGCAGATGCCAAGAAAGGCCCACAGGACTGCAAATGCAGGCACATCGCCTACAAACAGTTTGTGAGATGGTGTTGGAAGATACTAGGTTAGGGCTACAGGTTTGTGATCCTCTCCTGTGCTGCCATGTGCATTCGTGCACATTTTCCACCACCTGTAAATGAAGAGGATGCCATTTTGTTGGTCATCAATTTCCAAATTTGGAATAAATTGATGTAAATAAGTAATTGCTTGTTAACTTTATTTACCGTTATTCCTTTTGGAATCTAGAGAAACAGTCCCTGACCACATCTGCAATATCAGGCCTCTCACAGGAGGCACTTAGTGGCAAGGGTTCTTGTTTTTGTAGGGCCTTGTTTGAGGCTGGTCCTTTTTCAACCACCTTCAGCAATTCTTCAAAGCATACGTCTGCGGTCCGTGTACTTTTGCGTTCAATACATTTTCTATTTTTGAAAGAAAATGGAAAATTGAATAGAGGCTAATTTGTACTTTCAGGTACACGGTAATATACAAAAATGACCATTTTGGTTTTTTTCATTTCTTATAAGACATGTATATTGTAATAAGCAGATTTGGGAACTATAAAATGCAATAATTAACCTTTTTTATTGTACATTTAATACATTTCAGCGTCAATCAATTACCCGGAAGTGAAACGAGTTTGTTTACTTCAGCCCGGGATTAGGATTACCCAAATAGACCCTAACCCATAGACTGTCGTGGACCCCTGGTAATTAGTGATAATCACGGAGGATGTGTGAGATCTTAAAGGTCCTATATCACGCTTTTCTTCATGTTTCACAGTCCATCCTATGCACATGTGTGATATTAATGTGTATGATACACCACACAACAATCAAAGCTTGTGAGATTAGAGCCATCTCTTGTATAGAGGTGACGTCACCTCGACTCAAACGAGCTGATCCAGAGTCTGCTCCTCTGCCTGTGAGCCCGCCTTCTCCCGCCCGCACGGTGACGTAGCATCACGTTTTTTTTTACTTAGTAATTTCATACATAAGAATAAACTTTTTCCAACAATGACAATCCGTCACATCGAGCCCTATGTCCTCGATGCACAATCAGACCCTAGTTATTTAGTTTACAGAAGTATACAGCGTCACATATTAGCGTCACTACTTACAGATCGAAGGGGTCCGAGTTACGTCTTTTACCGTGGGAATAACGCGTTTCCAGATCAGCTTTTCAGTAAGTCCAGTTCCATTGTCCCTGTAGTTCTGGAACAGTCTCAGTGAAGTGTCGCAGATGAACCGGTATACATAGTTCCCACATGACGTCACTACATACGGGGATTTGCCGACCCGGCGACATTTGTATTGGCATGCTGTGGGCAAAACAATAGAAAAAGAAGCTGAAACGTGTTAATGTCGTGATAAAGTTGAAAATGGTCGTCTCCTGCTGGGTCAATGGATGTTCAAATCGTGCCGGAGGTTCAGTTAAACTTGGATTTTACAGTATACCCATCATTAGACTTCATGAATGTGAGAAGACTAAGCTTTTGTCAGAACAACCACGGAGGTTATGGCTTGCGAAGATAAACAGGCAAGAAACTCCCTCAAAACACGCAAGAATATGCTCGGAGCACTTTGTGTCAGGTGCGTATCGTATCTTATAATGTGTTGACAGACGTAATTTACTCAGTACTAATGTTAGTATTAGATAGCAATATGGCCTACGTGCAGGACTGTACAAGGACTCTACAAGGACTCCATGTTATGACTATGATTTGACTGTCTCTTTGTGACACGTATGTCTTTCGATGTGTGACGTGACAATGACTATATAAACTGTGTACTGCCTTTATTCTGTCTGAGAGGAAGAAACAGAGTAAACTAGTGGAACTTGAGAGAAACTTAAATAAACTTCCAGAGTTTGGCGCACCACGATCCGTCTCTGTCTGCTTAAATCCTAACAGATTTGGTGGAGAATGCGCGGCTCGGTTTGTGCCATTCTCTGGATTGTTTTGAGGGAGTTTTCTCTGTTTATTTTTTTCGGCGTGTGGGAGCAACAGCACGTTATCTGGAAGGGGAGAAATCCCAGTGGACGCTGAAAGGGCTCGCTTTTGGATAGGCTTGCTCTTGCTCCCTCACTTTCTCTGTTTTGTGTTTAAATTGAAGATTCCGACGCGGAAAAGAGTTGGCAGACCTCTCGGACAGCCCGTGCGCACCTGTTTGACAAGAATAAGGTAAGCAGACACCTTTTTAAATGTAAAGTCTGCATAATTGGATACTAGCTAAATTTGGGTGTGTTTTTGAGGTCTGTCGAACTCTCTAAATTGTGTTCAAATAAGTGTTGGCCATTAAAGTGAATAGGATCCATAAAGTGAAAAGTGTTGGCCATTAAAGTGAATAGGATCCATAAAGTGAAAAGTGTTGGCCATTAAAGTGAAAAGGATCCATAAAGTGAAAAGTGTTGGCCATTAAAGTGAGGATCCATAAGTGAAAAGTGTTGGCCATTAAAGTGAATAGGATCCATAAAGTGAAAAGTGTTGGCCATTAAAGTGAATAGGATCCATAAAGTGTAAAGGCCATAAGTGTTGGATCCAAAAGTGAAACCATGGTGTAAACATAAAAGTTATTATAAAAAGGGAAATGTGTTAAAGAGGCCTTTGTTACAAAAGCTTTGAAATTGACGAATTTCAGGCTGATAAATGA